GCTGTCACGGAGATGATTTTATCGCTGAGGGCGAAAGCGACGGCTTGGATCGACTGGACGCTTTGCTGATGCCATCCTTCGAGACCAAGATCTTGCCACGTATTGGCCCTGAGGAGTTCGGAGGCCAAACTACGCATGGAGATCATCTGCATCGCATCATTCGATGGAGCCCAATGGAACGTCGAGAAATTTGGCCTCATGGATGCCAAGGGCGAAATTGCCTCATGCTTTGCGGAGTGTGAAAAGGGACGCAGGGATCTAGAGGAGCTTCTGGACACTGTTGCAGCCCTTTGCAGAATCGTCCGACCATTCAGCATGCCCTGTCGGAGATCACATCCGGCATGGCATGCCCCACAATGGAGCACGAGCTCAAGCTAACTACGGCGCCTTGGGAGGTACCTTGTGAAGTACCCGAAGGAGGTGTGGCACTTCGGGCACCAGGAGCAGCCGGACGAAGCTGTGGTGCTTACGGACTCAGATTCGGGGCGCGTGCAAGCGAACGTGCAAGTCGATGTCTAGTTACCCCGAAAGCTCATCGATGCTTCGTGTGCAAAGCAATCGGTGATTGCACTCTGCTCTGGAGAGGCTGAGTTTTGCGCCATTTTACGCCTTAGAGCTTCAGGTCTGCTCACATCCCGGATGTGGGAGCGAATCGGCTTCAAGGGGCTAAGATCACGATGAAGACCGATTCAAGTGCCGCGGGAAAGGCTTTGGAAAGGTAAAGCATGTGTCCATGAAGGAGCTTTGGATTCAGGGTTGCGTCCAGAAGCATCAGCTCCAAGTTCAAATGGAACCGACCAAGAGTAACTGGGCAGATTTGGGGACGAAGGCAGTGACAGAACTCGTCAAAATCATGCGTCTCACAAGGGCTTGGTCATGGCGTGCTTGTTCGCATCCTTTGGTGTGGCTACGGGACACCCGAAGGAGCGCAAACTGGACGGCGAAGACGTGTTTCTTCATTTACATGGTGATCATTCATACTTGCGATCCAGACCATTTGGTGCTGGATCAGATCCGTGTTTGCGTGGCTTACTGAGCCACTTGTTGCAACGAAGGCGGCCCCTTCCACTGGAAGCCGCGTGGACCGACGAGGTCTTGAGCAGGGTTCCCAAGTCTACGGCACCCGTAAGGGCAAGAACCTTCATAGGAGACGCTGTAAACACCTTGGCCAAAACCCGAACGGGTTGCAGGGGGCAAATGCCGTTCTTCGAGGCGTTGCTTCGTCTACAGACTGCAACCCTTGAGTAGTGCCTGCCGGCTGTCCAGCTCATGGAATCAGCTGGCCATGCAGGGGTTTCAGCATATAAAGCAAATAAAGCATATTCTGAGTACCAACTTGTATAGTTTGTGGGGGTAGCCCTTGTAGCACAAGGTGCAGCAAAAGACGTTAGCTTGTGCTGTGTGTGCGTGGTTTGAGGGTTAACCTAAACTTTTGCACTTCAACATCGGAGCGTTCTAACAACAAACTTGCTACAAGAAGCAGTGCACTGCTAGGACAGCAGCTCCGAAGCCCTCATTGAGGCCTTCTTGTCTTCTGGTAATCAATGCGAATCGTCCATGATCGCAGCAACCGGCAGTCTCAGTCTCGTGGGGATCGTATCGTCATGTCTCATTTTATGTAGCATCCTGCATAGTTTGTCGTAGTAGCTTCGGTTCTGGGATTTCCGCTCGGAATTAGCGGGCCGCGCCGGGGTCGGACGGGTGGGGCACCGGACCTTGGCTTCCTGGCATGTCCTTTCATGCGGCGTTTGGGTCCGATCATGTTTCACACCAATTTGTCCCATGGCTTGTCATGCTCCTTTCCTGGCTCGGATGGGTGGGACGTTGAGCTCGCTGGCTTTCGTTCCAGCATGGATCTTTTCACGACTCCGGCTCTGGGTGTGCTGGCATGGCCCTTTCGTTTCGCTTGCGCTTCAGTCAGGACTACGGTTTCGTTCCGGCAGTTATTCATTCAATTCTAAATTGTGGGTTTCCGATTTGATCTTGTCTTGTTCGACGCAGCTGCTTGCATTGGGTATCAGCTTACGTTAGGGTCTGGGCCTGGTTTCGAAGCGTATGTCTTGGATTTGAAATTCATGCCGCTGTTTTGAAGCAGCTGCTTCATCCCCAGCTTGTGAGCATGCATAATGATGGCCTCGAGCTCAGGTCGTCACTTTAGCGTGTCGAAACTGTTGTGCCTCTTTGGGGGTGTGTGTGTATGTATATGTGTGTTTGTGCGTCTGTTTGTCTGTGTTTCACCCGAACTGAAAGGGAAGACGCAGTCGGGAAACCAGGCGGGCTGCTGCAGAAACGCAGGGGCCGATTCAGACAACAATTTCGGACACGCCGATGACGGATTCAGAAAACAACGCGCAATCATGCTCCTGCTGCTGCTGTCGTTGCTGCAGCTGCTTCTTCCGCTGTCGAGGCTGATCTTCTTGCTGCACTGCCGCACAAAGGAAATCAGAACCGGCAGAGCCCTGCGGAACCACAATGGTATTTGAGGTTTGTCGCTCTCCCAACATCTCCTTCAAAAGTCCAGGGTTTGCCAGCCAGTGTATAATACATATATATAAATATATATACTATATACACACATATAGAATTAAGCAGCTTGTGGATGTGCCATACACAAGCCAGCTGCTTGTAGGCTGAGATTTATCAACCATCATCCGATCTTCATTTCAGGTTGAAGCTTTGCTAACCCACACCTATATTTTCTTCTTCATGGTTCAGGGCTTGCCACCCACGATCTTTTTTCAGGGTTTGGGGTTTGTCACCCACGAGCAATTTTTCAGGGTTTGAGGTTTGTCAACCAACATGTATAGTCTGGGGTTTGTAGTGCAAAGTGTTCGGTTCGCCGCACGCGATGTTGCTTGAGGGTTGGGGTTTGCCCGCCAAAATCTCCTGTTGAGCATCTTGGGTTTGCCAACCGGTCCGTTCTTTTCGTAGGGTTTGGGGCGGTGGTCACCCACGATCTTCCTTCAGGGTTGGGGGTTTGCCACTCGCGATCTTCTCTTGGAGCTTGGGGCTTGCCGGCCAACATCTGCAATTAAGGTTTTGTGTCTGCCAACCGGTAGCTGTTTCTTGTGGGTTTTGGGGCTCGTCAGCCGCGATCTTCCTTCCGGCCAGCCAAAATCGTTCAAGGGCTTTGAATTTCGAGGTACAGGGTGTGCTGAGAGATTCGGGTCTGCCAACCAACATCTTCTTATTTGAGGGACCCTGAGTGTTGGGGACGATCTGCTTTTGGGGTTTGGTGTTTGCCGTCGTTTGCGTGATTTTGCGGGCCTGTGGCTTACACACTATCTTCGTTTGGGGCAAGCCCATCATCTTCTTTCAAGGTTTGCGGTTTGCCAACCGACGTACCCTTTTGAAGGTTTGTGGTTTGTCTCGTTTAGGGTTGAGGCTTGTCACCCCCCCTCAATATCTCCATTTATATTTAATTTAAGTTTAAGGTTTGGGATTGCCAGGCAATGTCTTTTGTGCTTGGGCTTAGCGTTCGCCAACTTACAACTTCTTCTAAGGTTTATGGTTTGCCAAGCAGTATCTTCTTCTTTTGGGGTTGGGCCCCGCCCCCACAAGCTTCGCTTGTTGTCCTCAATCGCTCCCGACGTTGTGCGAATCTTCGCCCATGTTTGGACGAATTATCCTGCAGTGTTTGCGGAAACGGTTTTCCTGAATTTCGTTGGTTCTCCGAATTGGTGCCTCTGTGTCTTCGAATTTGTTTTCCGGATCAGTCCGCATCCCGGCTTGCACTGCTGCAAGCAGGGATTCGATGAGTGGCGGCGAGATCATGCAGACCGCAGTCGTCGCTTGGATCTCCTCGCGCGGGAATCCCGGATGTTCTGCCGAAGCACCTCTGTTGTGAGCTTTGCTCTCCTCGTGGCAGCATAGAAGCAAGTCATCGCCTGCATTGATGATATGGTGATGATGTCGATGATGATGATGTTGACAATGATTGTAACAGTGATTGTGATGATAAATGGTAATGTTAGTGTTCGATGATGATGGCGTGGACTGGTGCCGATGCCAGCTCTGAAGACTCTGAAGATGAACGTGGACTCATTCAGCTTGTCGAGGTATCGCAAGTTCATGATTCGTGGATGTGTCCGGACCTGCAAGGCCACTGCTGATGTCGCACAACATCAGTGTTTGCTGCTCAGTTTGTTGACAAGCCTTGTTCGGCAGAGGATATGTCTCTCGGCCACGACATGTTTCTGTCTGTGTTACGAACGACCCTGTGTATCTGGAACAAGGCTGCAGCGTGCACGGAGTTAGACTGTCTGCAGCAGAAATTTGCGTCCCGAATGTGTCAGTAGCGGAGTGTCGCATGCCGCGCGCCTTGGAGCGTCGGTTCATGACGCATCCGAGCTTGTCAATTTGCCGAAGGGGTTTAACCGAAGGCGATTGGTGTGGGCGAAGTAGCTCAAATCATTCACACTTGTGATCTCCTCACATGCTGGCAGATGAGCATGATGCACGGCATCTGACAAAGCTAGCGGCTAGCGGTGGCTAGCGTGTGACCAGCTGCGAGCGTTTAAAGGATTGGCGGACCGATGCCACACCTGATGATTGCAAGTCAGGTGTACAGGCTTGACTTTGGACAGAACGAGGCTGCGAGGGTGGAAGTCTGCAGATAAAGTGACATAGCTGATGCCATGCCACCATCTGACTGTCTTGACACTGGTGGCCTCAATCAATCTGGCCCTGCAGTGTCCGCCGGATGTCCTTCGAAGTATCTCTGCGGGCTACTCCGGCTACTTCTTCGTCCATCCCCATGCCAGGCCATGCTGTCGGGATGAGCGCTTATCTGCTCCCGCTTGTTTCAAGCTGTGATCAGGTCCTGACACGCCAACCTCAAGCAAAGCAAGGAAAGTTCAGCACAGGAAAACTCCAATCCACACTGAGTATAGGCTGCCACGAGCTTCAGGTCCCACCATATCAAGAGTTCCTTCAAACCTTCATAAATCCTATTGGCACAACTCGGGCTACTCTGCTCCGCCGCTACGCTGCGCCCTAAGATGGCCGAGCGGGCCGAAAACGAAGGCCACGAGGCCTGACGTGACATTGAAATTGATATCGCTCTAAGTTCTAAGCTTTAAACTCAGTGGTCTCGTCGTTTGGAGGGAATAAAAGGAGAGAGTTGATGGAATGCTGGACATGTGCCGTGGCAGTCGGTGTTTGCAACGAAGGTGAGCTTGATTTGCTGGCCAGTGCCTCGAAACGAGAAAACAAGCCCGAAAGGCCAGGACCATGCGGAACTGGAAGCTTCGTCGCTGTCTCTGCTGCGCAAGCAGAAACTCCTCTTCCCGACGGGCCAAAATTCCAGAACCAAAGAGCTAAGAAGCAAAGGAAACCATTGAGCTTCTCTTTGTAGGCCGATCCTCCAACGCCTGAGGAGGCCCGGTGGCCTGAGGGCAGGTCGAGTGCGATTTCCGTAGAGCCGCCTGCTGGTTTGTTTTTCAATCCCGTGCAGTCCTGTGTCTTCCATTGTCCTCCGTCCCGGTCCATCCCGGATAACCACCCAGTCACGCTGCAGTGCTGCTGGAGTTGTGCCGACATTAACTTGATTTGTGTGTCTGCGCACATTTGCGCAAACGTTGTAATGATGCAGCTGCGGCAAGGAGGTGGAGCAAGTCGATGTTGTTGTACGTGGGGTGCATGGAGAACAGGCGCCCCGCCCGCACTGTCACATCTTGTGCGGGCGTGAATTGTTCCTTGCACTGTATGGCGAGATTTGGGCACCAGATTCAAGCCCGCAGAGCCGTGACAGGTGGCCCTGCTGCAGCTCCCAGCTGCGAAGGCGACCATCATGGACGCCAAGGACAGGACCGGAGCTTGGCGGAAGGACGACTTTTTGGGACTGCAATGCTGTCAGCGAATGAACCTAAGCAATGTGCCTCGACGCACAGAAAACATGCACGGACGACGCTGCCTGCCATGCACATCCGGAGTTGTTATCAGTTCTGCTTGTGCCAGATAGCTTTGAGCTCTCTGCTGCTGGTGCCTCTCTATACGTGGCTTGATTTTTATTGAGTTTATGCGAGTGCTGCTTTGCCGGTGTGTCAATTGTTGTTGCAGAAATTTCCCGAGGCAGCAGCTGTTGCTATCATGCAGCGAAGATGTGCCGGGAGACCACGAAGAGCTTGCCTTTCTGAAAGGCCATGCGTAAGGTAAAACACAGAAGCTGATTCGGGCAGTTGAGCATGCACTGATTGGCAGCAGGAGGGCACCACCAGGGAGAGAGAGGGAGAGAGAGTCCCACCTCATTTTCCGAATGCAGTTTGCCCTGGGGAAGCTCTTCTCCGCCCCCTCTGAATCCGAGTGGCCCTTTCTCTAACTTGGTTTGGTTGAACTCTTCAAGCGTGTCCGGCAGACAGCCCACTTGCCCGCCTCAGCTTGGTCGGAAGCCCGAGCGTCCGCCTGGAGATGGCGCTTGCTCACCATCTGTATGTGTGGTATGTAGGGAACTTGCGTCGTCTTGCAGCAGGTGCATAGGCGCATGTATGTAGGCCGTCCGTGTGATCCCGGCAACGGAGAGGCCTAAACTAATGAACGACTCTTCGCCCTCCACACAGACCGCCTTTTGGGCGTCTGCCTCCGCTCATTGCACTTCATGCAAGATCTCCGATCCTTTCTCCAGGCAACGTCTGTCGCAGCAGTCGCCGCAGGCAGAAGGAGGCAGTGGCCACCCGCATAAGCAGATGGCATGGATGCACATCCAGCTTTCGCTGGCTGTCTTCGCGCTTTCCATCGCCGGCTCAGCCTGGAGTTCACATGTCCATTCATGGCATATCCGGTCCGTGTGCCGCCGCGTACCGGGCCACCACGGCAGCTCCTGGCGACGCAGCCGGGTGTCTGGAACTTCACAGGACGTGATCCACTCCGCCCTTATCTGCCACGCCATCACCCCCGTCTCCCGGGTTTTTTGTGAAGTTACGCGCAAATACATGGGGTTCAGAAGATTCCCACCTCTCGTGGCGCGGGCAGTTGGGCTCAGTGGGGGTCACTCCGTGGGCCGGCCGGGTAGTCGGTCATCTCCGCAGGGGGCTTTGTGCCAGGCCGCAGAGGTCATGGCGATAGTGACTCTTGCCTGACTACCAGTTCGCCTTGAGGGCCTTGAACTGAAACGTTCTGGGAAGGACCCGTCTGTCAACAGGATCATGCTGAACTCTCTGTTTGAAAAGGTTGTCTGCGGAGCCATGCAAGGTTGCCGGACGGGTGCAGACTATGCACCCGGGCGCCAACACCAGTGTTCGAGGGCGGTATCTCCGGCTATGCGCAGGAGTGCACTACGACGAAAAACGGTATGCGGATATTATTATTGACAATTCTACGAAAAGTTTGTAGAATTCATTTAAGACAGCTGAGGGCAGCGAAGAGCAGGGCTGTGCGTTTCTTTGAGCTTGTTGAGCGGCCCCGACTCGGAGCGGTGTGTTCCGGGGGGCCGCGCGGTTCGCTCGGTTCAGGCGCTGACTCGCCTGTCTTGGAGCTCTGCTACGTCCGCCTGGCATTTGACGAGGCGGAGTCGGCCAAGCTACTCGTCCATGCCGCGGGCTCAGAAAGGGCCTGCGATATGAGAAACAGCGGTCACGGTCCAGTCGTTGTCAGTGTGATGTGCGGCGACATCTTGTGACAATGTGAACTGGTTCCCCATGTTAAACGGGTCTGAGGCGTGGCGAGGTGAAGCATCGGAGGTCGAGAGCCTCTGGCTCGCTTGCCACGACACTAGTTCCGGACGCACCAGGACCAGAAGTCTTGAGCTGTTCCCTGAAATGGCAGGCAGTGCCTGATCGCACGGGCGTGTCCAGATCATCGAAGCGAGGAGGAGTCGTATCCACATCTCACGGAGACAGCCGCCGTGCACGATCACGGCAGGACGGCCGGACGGCTTTGCTGTCTGCGGCTCTCCAGGGCCACCTCGAGGCGCTGACACGGCGAAGTGCTCTGAAGTGATGATTCGTGCTGGTGTGCGTAGGTGGCAAAGCAGCTGTGCCGGGCTGGCCGGGATCTCTCTCATTCGCCTTCTCAGACGGAGACCATCACAGCCAAGGCGCCGTCGTTGACCCAGAAGAAACCGATGGCGCTTCGCCGATGCTTCTTTGGCAGCAACAACAGCGGCTTGTTGATAGGAGCAAGCAGTGAAAGCTTTGTCTTTAACGCATCGTGTCGATCGACGGTGGAGTGCAGATTCGAAGAGCCGCTGCACCACTTCCCGCTCTTGTCCGTCACCACCCTCTTGTCCAAGCTTCTTGTGTCTTGTGCATTCTCCGCCGCCTGAGGCTTGCAGCTGCCATGCAGGGCAGACTGGAGGTGCTTGAATTTTCCACTTGTCACTTGCCCCCCTAGCTTTTGGGGCGAAATCCAGTCACGGGCTGCAATCCATTCTGCGAATTTCTTGGATCCTCTTGCCGACGTTTACCGTTGTCGACCGTCGATTTGTGTACGTGTGTTCCAGGCGGGTGATCTGAATGGCCGTAGGTGAGCATGCACCCATAAGTTTTGCCAACGCAAGGTGCAGGCAGAAATGATCACAAGCGAGTGAATACATTGTAGAACACATATGTATGTGTGTATATTTGTATACACACACACACGCATACATACATACATACATACATACATACATACATACATACATACATACATACATATATATATATGCATGCATGTATGTATGTATGTATGTGTCTATGTATCTATGTATCTATGTATGTATGTAAGTATGTATGTAAGTATGTATGTAAGTATGTATGTATGTATGTATGTATGTATGTATGTATGTATGTATGTAGTTTTTAAGATGTATATGTATACGTATATACCACATGTATGTATGTATGTATGTATGCATGCATGCATGCATGCATGTATGCATGTATTTAGGTATGTGGGTATGTGTGTATGTGTGTATGTGTGTATGTGTGTATGTGTGTATGTGTGTATGTGTATGTATCTGTATATGTATGTGCATGTGCATGTGCATGCGTATGTGTATGTGTCGACGTTCAAGCTACTAGTAGGTGTCGATCCACGCGGAAGTGCTCCAACTCAGCATGCAACACCTGCACAGAGACAGCCCAGTGGTATCCAGTGGTCGAAAACGACATGAGGGGTTCGTCGTTGGCGACTTTCGAGGGAAGGTTGACATGGTGGGCAGAGAACAAGACAGTCGCTCAGGGGAAGTCGCCAACCTATCAGCTTCTCATCCTCCTTGCGTGTGTGTGGTAGTTGCCATTTCCTCGTGGGAACAAGGACGCGTGTTTCCGTGGAACAGGAATATCTCCAGCTACAAAGGAACCGGATGTATTTGTTTTTCGGAAGTACAAGTGCCTTGCTGGAGCAGCTGCATGCTCAGATGGTGAAGTTCCTGGCTGACGCCAAGGCCAGATGGAGAGACAACAGCTAGTAATGTGTGAATGACCGCAGCTTTATGTGGCCGTGAACGCTTCTCAACTTTAAGCCCAAGCTGCCAATGCTGCAGGCCGCTCTCGATCGCCCAACAGCAAACGGCACTACGCCGTTGCACGTTGCATCCCTGTTCGCTTGGCACGATTGGACTTGCTTATTGTCTTCTGTGCGCTCAGTGCTTCGTCCGCTCTGCACCTTTCGCATCTGCGGCGCAAGTCACTACTGAAACGATTGATCGCCATGCGGCCTGCTTTCGCTTAAGTAGGCCTCTTCTGTGACTAATCATGCACTGTTGCTGGTGGAAGGCAGGGCCACTTGGACGTGGCAACCTAAGCTGCGTATCGTGGTGTTTGCGAGTAAAATAGGCGCTGGAAGCTGCGCTTGCATGTCCGTTTTGGGTCACTTGCAAAGAAACTGCCCCTTGTAGCTTTTTTGTGACACGAGTCTCACAGCACATCGAATCGGGCTGTTGCCGACATGGGAACCGCTGGAGACCTTCTAGATCTGGTTCGGCTGTACTGGCCACTTTTGCTGGGCAACGCATTGGAGTGGTACGAGTTTGCCGTGTATGGACACTTGGCTGCAGTCGATGTGCCAAGTGCAATGCTGAACATGTTTCTCAGGCTTCCGAAAGCTTTAGTTAACTTTGGTTGGTTTAGTTGAGATGTTTAGATTCGATCTGCGGCCGACCTACGAGGCTACATGGAGAGTTATATGGAACAGAACTTCTTCGAAGGATCAGCTATTGCTACCTGGGCCGGCTTCACCGCCACATTTCTGGCACGTCCTGTAGGTGGGCTGTTCTTGGGGACGATTGGAGATTTGTTCGGGCGGAGAATCGCCGTCATCATGTCAGTTATTGGCATGCTCATTGGAACAGCTGGACAGGGCCTGCTTCCATGCCCACGCAATCATCGAGACAGTCCTTGGGTATCGATGGCAGGTGTTGTAGCTTTGTTTTGTCTCAGGCTGCTTCAAGGCCTTTGCACCGGTGGCGAAATCAGCTCAGTTTCGACTTATCTTGTCGAAGTTGGTTCCCACCGCTCATTGGGCCGGTGCACAGGCTTGCTGTCTGTGACCGTAAACCTGGGCTTCATGCTTGCCAGGGTTGTTATCTGGACACTTCAGAGCCATTTGGGTGACAGTGCCATGCTCCAATGGGGCTGGCGAGTGCCTTTTTTGCTGGCTTTGCTGCCAGGTTCTGTTGCTGTTGCCGGGCGGATTTGTTTGCGAGAGTCTGGTGAATTCGTTCGCGAGCACAAGGAGGCTGACAGCGACGAGGACGGCATTCCTGGACATTCCCCTTGGCAACACATGCAGCTTGCGCTGCAATCACATTTTCCAGCTATTTTGGTCGGCATTTTCGGAGTTTGCAACATTGCAGTCTTGCAGTACGGTGGTTTGATCTGGACGAATTCGTTCTTGAAAAAACATGGGGCACCGACCAATACAGTCATGACTGCCGGTGTTTGTTCTAGATTGATACAGATGAGCCTTGCGATTCTTGTTGGCTGGCTTGCCGATGTCCATGGTCTGGGACTGGTGACTCTGGCAGGTGCTTGGACTCTCATGTCAGCTGGCCTTCCCATGTTCGTCGCGTTAGAGTCTGACCCTGCCAACCCGGTAAATGTTTGCATCACCTACGGCATCATGTACGCGTTGATGGCTTCGTTGTGTGGCAGCGTCGTCTTCATGTACGTTGCAGAGCTGTTTCCCACTTCGGTACGGAATCTGGGTGTGGGCATCAGCTTTAATGTTGGCTTCTGCTTCTTCGGAGGCTTCGCTCCAGTACTTGCTGAGGCATCTTTAGACTGGACTCCGCATGGGCCTGGCTTGCTCTTGTCTGCTGCAGGTGCTGTGACATTTCTGACTGTGCTGGCCAGTGTGAAGTTACAAGAGGCAGGCAAAGTGCAGCTGGCACATGTCAGACCTGTGCCGTACCTGGGAACCTGGGCCCATGGTTCTCAAAATTTGGAGGAGAGTTTGGAGTCCTTGACGGGCGCTCATGCCCGAATGGTTGCTGCTGGGGAATCATAGCAATAGGATTCTAATCCAAGTAGAGAAGTTCTTGATGATGTTTCGGTAGTTCTTGCCCTCACTTCTTGGACACAGTATAGTTGAAAGGATTGCTGTTCGACGAAGATACAGCCAGTGGGGACGGGTCGGAGTAGACTTGCTGGGCAGCGACTGCTCAGTCCAAGTCGTTGATGCAGTTGGTGCAGTGACGTAAAACCTGCGAATTTCTGCAAAGCAGTGTTTGGATATTGACGTCTTCGAAAGCGATGACAAAGAGTCGCCAAATGTGAAAGCTCCGGTCCCGGCCCAGCTGAGGTCGTAACGTATCTTTGCCAGTCCGGAGCGGTCTGCGACAGGCGGGTTGGGCCGCTAAGCTATGCTACCCTTGAGATTAGTGCTTCCCCAGTTCGTGCGAGTTGCGCTGCAACTTGTCGGTGGGAGATGCACTCCACACGTTTACTTAAGTTTTCTTCGTTCTTTAGGTGTTTTGGCTCTTGGCTGTAGGCTACGTGGCTTGGCCGTTTCATATTTGGGGTTCTGAGCGCTGGTATCCGTGAGAGATCTGGAACGACATCGTGGTCCATCAATTCAACCCCCAAACCCAAAACGCACAGCTGCGGCACATTTCCAGTCACAGCGACCAAACTTGCGAGCTATTGCCATGGCCGCTGCATTTCTTGTTGCTTATCCGATAGATTTCCCAACTTTAGTTAAAGGAGCTCACGTGACCAATGTCACATCGTTGTGGCTCCATCATTTCTGAGCTAGAAAGCGAACGAATCTGGCTCCCATCCTTAGAACGTACACCCGACGTTTCTTAGCTAATCATGTCTTAATCGGTGATTGCACTGTAGATGAAGCGCCTGTGCAACACAAGACGTCATGGGGATCTCCCGAGATGCTCGAGCTTCATACTGCGCCCATTGGTTCACAACAACATTTGAAACGATCCACCAAGCACCGTGTCGGATGATGTCGGATGCACTGGAGTTCATCACTCAGGACATCCCGCCCTCCCCCCCCACATCAACAAAGCACGGGTATCAGATCGAGTGCTGATCCTCCCGGGAACGAATTGCAGAACATCAAGATGAAGCAAGCCTTGAACCGAAACGCACGGACAGACTGCACATGTAGTGCATTCGCATGGAGAGGGCATAGTGTTCATGCTGACTGCAGACATCCTGCGACAGCATGACCGCAAGTCTGGTGCTGGAAGTATGAACAGGGCAGAGTGCTTGTCTTTGAAAGGCTAATTAGAAGTCTACCGCCAAGCCTGAAGCTGCTTGTTCACTCCGTAGGAGCTGTTCGCGCGAAGCGCGAGCACGGGACTTCTTGGAATATGTAGTTCGCACGCAGCAAACCATACATCCACAGGCTGACATCATTAAGGCATTGCGTGTCTTGTTCGATGTGCAGATGTGTGATGTATCTTGCCTGCGGTGTACTTGCCTGCGGTCGTGCAACAGAACGACTCCGGGTGGAGCCACGCCTCTCTACGTGTTCGGCACTTAGCTGATTCCGGTCTCCGTCTCTGCGCACCGGAGCTTCATGAAACTGCAAAAGACGCCCCTGCAAGGTCATGTTACAACGGTCATCTTCCAATCGCACAGTACCTTTGCTCGCAGCGATCGGATGTGTGCAAAAGGACCCCTGGCAGTGACGACATTGACATGTGCGTGTGTTTTTTCATGCCGAAGAGAGGACGCCCACCGGTGCGACCTTGCTGCATGCAGCAGCTCAAGAGGGGCAGCTCGAGGCCGGAGCCGGCCCGGGACGTCGTGCCTTGCCTTTGCGACACCTGCTGCCTGCTCTGCACACCTTCCTGTGCCTGTGGGTGCGTGTGTGTCTCTGTGTGTGCGCGGCTCACCGGGGCTTTTGAGGCTGCCAGAAGTTAGAAGCATTTCGATTCTAGAGGTCTTGACGCTTGGAAATCGGCGAGCAGGCTAACGTTGACACTCGAAGTTGCAGTTGCGGGACGCAAACCGCCAGCGTTGGAGCCGAAGTGGTCAGGACCGACGGCAACATGCAGTGTGCAACATGAGGCAGCGGACCAGGCCTGCTTCCAAGTCGCGCCCAGTCTAGCGAGCAGTTGTTGGCTCAGCACAGCGGCGACGCTTCATGAGACGGACAGCAGCTGGGTCACATGCGTGTCGGACCACCGAAGATGGGTGCTTCTTCCTTCGTTTGTTCCAGCTAAGTATCGAGAAGATACATGCGCAAGCCGCTCACCAAAGCGGGCGAGCATGCCCGCGCTTGTGGCTGTGATTGGCATGGCCCATCTCGAAGAGGCGGCTGGGAGCTTCGGCGACTTCACAAGCGACGCTGTTTCTGTCGCGTAAGGGGCCCCAACACGAGGCATCCAGCCATGCGTCCACGACCTTTACCGCCGGCCTTGGGTGTCAATGTAGGCGGCTGAGGCCGGCTTCACGACCAAAAGCGATTTATCGAGGCTTCCAGGTTCCCCAGACGTCTTCCGATGTCTTCCGCTGGAGACGCCGTCATGTCCGGGAAAACATCTTCGTTCAGACAGGGCACAAATCCAGCTTCATGTTTTGCAACACATTTTGTTTTCGGCCTGCACCAAAGCTCATAAGAGCATTACCACTTCTTCGCTACTAAGACTGGATCGCACAGGTGGTTGCTTTCTTGTGTGAGATGCCGGAGGTGGACAAGGACGGGCACGCAATGCTTTTGTTGGGCTTGGGCTTAGTGGTTGTTCACGCAAAGGATGCACAGATGCTCGATGGAGCCACCCCACTCCTGGCCGCAGCTTTGCAGGGCCATGTGGTTGCCTCAGTCGTCACCAAATTAAATGGATGCGCGTAAGTGCTCCGAGACTTAGAACCAAAGAAATTCGCAAGTCGTTCTGAGGTGAACGTGGTGCCCGGCTCCCAGCTTGCAGTTGCCGCGCTTGCGTTCTGCAAGCCAAGCCACAGATGTCCACAGAAGCACATATCCAGGTTGATCGACAGAATCTGCAACATCAACCCGAGGCAGCATCTCGCGCGGGTGAAGGCAGACATCCACAAGACGACGAAGGATCCACCCGTTACTTAAGCAGTGGGTTCGATTGGAATTCGAGGAGATGTTACCAATCGCTGGCATTGATTTGCACGGAGCAGTGGGTGGCATGTTTCAGAAAGCGGTCGCAAGTGGTTTTGCCTTGGGGTGTGAATGATTGCATAATGTACGACCGTGGTGAGTGCGACAAGCACGATTGCATCGTGAAGCTGTGCGAATGCAGAAGAAGGAAAGCACATCCGAGTACAGTGGAGCACATGCGGCAAGTGCGGCAAGTGGCAGAAATCGAAAAGCGAGGAAAGCAGCAGAAATCGTAGACCTGAGCAGTGCGCTGAGCAGCTGAATTGGATGGTAGAAATCCTTCACACTGGCATTGGAAGAAAGCCACGTGTTTGTTCTGCTACATGGTTGGACGTTGACTTCACATGCGATGGAAGCTGCGAGAAATTTATCTCACCTGCCAAGTATCACATGTCGGACAGAGTTTAATGAGCTGGCACAGGGTTTGAAGGGCAAAGAAGTAGGCCGATCCTCAGCATGGTGGAGGTTCTCAGTCGCTTGAATGGTTGCTTCCTCGGTTTTGACACCATAAAGGCCAGAACTCCCAATGGTTGGCTCTCAAGTCCTCTCTTGAGGACGGCGCATCTGCACTGCATGCTTGTGCCCGCCGCTTGACCAGCAGCCGGAGCTGAGAAGCCTCATCTTTCGGAGAGAAGCTTAGAGCTGTCACGTACTCCTGCTCATGCAGGGGTCAGCTGATCGACAGGCACCGGTAGTAACCTGTGATTGAGGCAACAGATGGCAACAGAGTAAATAAACTCGAGAACAAGGGTGTGGTTGCAGGGTGCAATTGTGCATAGCAGCCTGCAACAACGACTTCACGAACCAACAATGGAACAAACTGAATGCGGGTTGCGAGAAGCTTCTGCAAGAAGGGTCGGGGTCCGCCACACGGGACTGGGACGGGAAAGCGATGCGAATTCACTGTGGCGGTTGCACGATTGTCAACATTGGATGTCCAAAACCCCTTTGGGATGCGTGCATCTCCGAGCGATTTTGAAGGCCAAACTGTGTGAGGTAAACACAGCTAAAAGGTCCAGGCAGAACCTCAAAATCAGCAGACGCTCGCATTGGTCGTCGCTTTGACTGCAGGCTCTGGTCACGTAGCGGTTGCGCGGTTTCTCTGCGAGGCAGGAGCGGACAAGGAGATCTCTGGAGCGGTTGCAGACTTGACTAAGCTATCCCTATCGCAAGTAGCGATCATCATTGTTTGACGGCGCTTCTGATTCACCTTTGTGTGCTTGTGTGTGACTGTGCGCCAGTTGCGATTTCGATGCCGCTTGTCGAGTAGCGATGGGTTGGGTTGGCAAGCCCTCAACCCCAACAAGATTGCGATATCTTGCACGCATTGCATACTCATTGCATGTTGATCGTGAGAAGTGAGTAGTTGCACACAGTCACGTAACACCATGCATCGATGCAGCATCCAGGATCGGGCGATGATGGAGGGAGCGACCCCGTTGTTGGCAGCCGCGCTGCAAGGTCACACGGAGGTCGGGCAGTAGATCTTATTCCACAGATTTCGACAACCAGCTAAATGAGAGGTTCGTCGCGGTGTGCTGTTCTGATTTGCACCACATGAAAAGCTCGGTAACCTGGCTACGATGAAACTCCGAGGAGCCTATCCGACTCTAAGTCGGAACAAGTCGGATACATGCACTGCTACTTGTAGTTTCAAACTTGGAAGTTCGCACGTGACGGCGGAGTCAAGAGCGGAGCGAGGCTTTTAAGCCGCGCGTGGATACAGCACCTGCATTCAACGCTTTTGTTGTGTCAGCTTGCCAACCTGTGAATCCATTGGCACAGTCCGATCTCTTGATGTTTCGCCGTGCTCCCAGCACGCATTCAGCCCGAGAGCTTACTCAGGCACATAAAGACAGTCCAAGCAAGCTACTGTGGCATTGCCTTGCGCTCTATCTAGCAAGACGCCAAATTCCAGTGCCATGGTCTTCAGGCTCATTGCCTTGCCTCGGCAACTTGCAAAACGAGCGGTTCGTCAGTGTAGTGTTGCGAGCGAGATCGAAAAATACGGTGCCATGAAGCCGCACCCGCAGAGCATCGAAAGTGTTTTGAGCTGCAAGGATGTGAAGCAGCTTGCTGAGTTCCTGAAAACGGAGTATCCCATACGCTGTGCGGAGCGCATCCAGATGATCGAAGCATTGCCTGGCTGGTCATCAGCGCCTGAGCTTCAAGAGGTACACAGACGGCACTGGAATGCCTTTGTCGCAATGCGTCACTTTCAAAGCTCTGACGACCTCACACTCTTCACTGAAGTTGTCGATGACATCGTCAACAGCAACAAAGATGTAGTTGCATTGATGGCAAAGGCCATGCAATGGTTATCCCGGGAAAGACCCGAGCAGTTCCATGCAGAATTTGTGGACACATTCCTTGACAACTTCCTGTTGAATCGACTTGGCAGCAATGTACTTTTGTCGCAGTATCTTGCGGCTGTTGACAAGACAAGACTGGTCGTGGGGACTATTGACCCTCATTGTGATGTTACGGAGATCTGCAGGGAGAGTGCAGAGGAGGTTCAGCGGATATGCAAATACTATACACAGCTGGCTCCATCGATCTCAATAGAGACACATGACGTGACTGCAGACGATCAGTCCGATTTAAAGTTCGCATTTATCCCTGGCATCATCAGCTACATAGTGCAGGAAATTTTGAAAAACAGTGCTAGGGCCACACTGCATCACCTTCTATCAGACATCGATGTTGATCGATTTCCCATCAACATCGTTGTTTCTGGTGATCATAAGCGGGTCATGATCCACATCAGTGACCGTGCAGGCGGAATTCCTTTTGATGTTGGTCAGCATGTGTGGTCATATCTCTATACGACGGCCCTCAACGACGTAAGCTGTTTGGCTGGATTTGGTGTCGGCCTCCCAATCTCACGGCTCTACGCGAGTTATCTCGGCGGTTCCATGAATCTGGTATCCTTGCCCGGATATGGAACTCACGCCTATGTGTATTTTCCACGGCTCAACTCAGAGCAGGTGGAAGTTGTACCAGATAAAGACCACCCATGGAAAAGGGCTGACAACTTCATTCTGTGATGTGCGAAGTTCACCCGGGCTTTGTCAGAGCCGGCGACAGTAGCAGCCACAGTGTTGCTATGCAGTGGGATAGAAGCTGGGCTTGCAACTGCACCAGCGGTTGTGACTCGCAAAGCCTCCGACATCGCTGCAAATCTCAGAACTCCCAACTGTTCGTGATCCTTGGAGCCTTGGACACTAAGGATGTGTCGAACTTTGCTGTATGTCGACCAATCTGGGTACATCGGATGTACAAACCCTCAGGAGATCAACAGCTTCACGTAAAGCTCGTGTCATCTTGTGGCCAATTGGCATGGCGGATATGGCGGTGGCTGCCCGCCTGAGAAACTTAAGACTTAAGAAAGCTGTCACAGATAGACAAAGTGTGCTGGTCACGACTTACGACGTCAGTAGCCCGGTGCTCACCAATCCGAGCAGAGGAAAATAGGCAAGAATGCAATTTTTTCTTGGAGCATGAATGAAATCTCACCCCGTGATAGCTGCAGGTGGTGCGCTATCTGTGTGATGCCGGAGCTGACAAGGACTGGTGCTGGTGGCGAGTTCTGCACATGCACGTCAAAGATGTTGGTGCGAGAGACATACTTGTGCAAGAGTTTGAGAGGATCGCACCATCTGTGACGGAGTCACTGCCTTTCATGCAGCTGCAGAGCGGGGCTCACAGATGATCACAGATGGGTGGTCATTTTGGCTATTTAGGTAGTTAATACACGGATGACACGGACACATGCAGGGTTATAGTATTATAGACTTATAGAACGTTAATTCTCGCCATTTCTCGCCCCATCTCTTGTTGCTCTCTGTCCAGGCGAGGTCATGCAGAGGTGGTGCAGTGCCTTTGCGAGGCGTTTCTTTGGATTGTGTTGCTCAGCCACGTTGTGAGGGTTCGCGAAGATGCTTGCAAAGGTGGGAGCAGACAAGGACAAGGCAATGCGAAATGGCCTGACGCCCTTGATGGCTGCTTGCCTCCAGGGCCACGAGGAGGCCGAGATCTGAACACGGCAAGCAGAGTCTTTCGCACGTCAGAAACTCTTCGGTCTCTCTTTGTGCAAGCGTTGATTCGGGAATTTGAACTCCTGATCCGTCGCAAACCAGTCAGGTGGTGCGTGTCTTGTGCGACAACGGCGTCATGATGGAGACCCCGATGCGTGAGGATTGGATAAATCTTAACATCTTGGCGAGACAGTGATTTCTGTTTCGTCTGCTGGCTTTGTCGGTGCTACCAAATTCAGACTCATTCCTGCTTGCAAGAGGCTGATACCGGGTACCGCAGCATGCCATAGCAGCCATAGCACTTATGCTCACAGGATCTGGTGTTGGCTGCCGTGACTCTCGTGAAGCACCAGCCATGATCTCGAGTGGTGTGACTCGAGATGTTCTCAGAAATTCGGCTCTTGCATTCCCAAGGCCGCATTCTCAGATCTTCCTGTGCGATCCGGGGAAGGTTGTCGAGGCTTCGGACGAGCCCTCGCCAGCTTTTTAAGACTATGGTCCTGTCATTGCCTTTTTGGTACGTGCATATATTTAGGTCACTGGGTTGCCCTAAATGCAGCTTTATGAGCCTCTGGCTGGTTGGTCTCCAGTCCCCGTGCGAGCAGGCAATGCCATCCTCAACCAACCGTGCATCCATATTCCAGATGGTTGACTTGTATCGGTGAATAAGGCCCTGTGAAAAATGTCCTGACTCAACTGGCAGCTATGCTTTAGCAACGCACTCGTTCCTGAGAGCTTGGTTGCTTTTACCTGGCAGCCTGTGTATCACGGAAAGAAGCATGTGTACACAGCACGGGTAGCGCAGGCCAACAGATTCAGTGATGCGCATGCATGTGTCAGGAGAAGCATTGCCGGCAGATGCCTGAAGTCCAACCGGTGACATGCATTGTGCATGGGCTCGGGGCGTGTGCATTTGACCCGCATTGCTGTTTCAGGCAAGGTGCGACATCGTTACATGTTGCTGATGCCTTACGAGATTTGTTGCAAGCTGGCTGTCCTTAGCTCTCGTTGAGAATGCAGTGCCCTTGTGAAAGGCGGCCCTCCATGGGCATTTGGGTGTTGTAAAGCAGCTCTGTGCTAATCTTAGCCTGAAGCCACGTCAAAGCATGCTGTGCTGAGAGCGGTCTGCGAAGACACCAAGGCAGCGCACGTGCCAGTTTAGAGGCCGCCATGCGTGTCCGCAGGCTCAGAGTATGCACAGCGCCAGCCGGGGTTCACTGTCTTTGGGGACCACGTAAAGGCTGCAAAAAGGCTTCCTTTCAACTTTCACTTCCAAGGCCATAGACCCCACAAGCATCATCTCTTTGCAGCTACTGCCGGGTAGAGTTTTGCAAGCTTAGACGTGGCAGCAACGTGGCAGAGGGCATGGCGAGAAAATGTCCCGTGCCGAGGTGGGCTCAACACCACTCCTGGCAGCCGCGCAAGCAGGCCACAGTGAAGTGGTCGCTTGCCTGCAAAATTAAAGAACCAGGTACTACTTCCCACTCGTTCGGGAGCTTCCAGCAATCTTGTTTTCGTCCAAGCACTTGCGACATGGCGACAGGTGTTTCATGGTGCTTCCGTTTGCTTCAAGCATGCAAGTGACGCGGCCTGCTAGCTCAGGTGCGATTCCTTTGCCAAGCCGAGGCAACAGTGCTGCAACTGCATGTTTGAGTGTGACATCTCTGCTTCTAGAGTCCAGAGCTCTTCGTGGGTTCAGCGTGGACGCAAGATAATTACCTCTGGATGTATTCCTTTCCTGGCCTTTCCGTTGTTTTGTCAAACCCACAGAAGATCAAGTCCGGAGCAAGTTCGTTGTCGACAGGTCACGGATTTGAGTTTCTGTTGCGAGCTCGCTCTGAATTTGCATCGGTGTTGTCGGGCTGTCAAGCGCCACACACATGAATCCTTTGACTGACTCCAAACACATTACGGCTTTGCGCGCCATTCTGCCATGCCCAGCGGCTGGCACAGCGGTCTGATGATTGTTTTCTGTTGTAGACCTGACAGCTACTTGTGGCAGAACTGCAGTCTACTGCTATCCCGAAATTTATGATGTGTGTCGTTCTATCGAATCCAGCGAGCCCAGTTTGTACGAGGTTGCAGAGACAACTTTAGCCTCAAGCTCCAAATTACACTTCAAACCCCAGGCCCTGAACCCTAAATTGCCCACGAGCCACCAGTCAGAGACGGCGGCTTTTTAAGAACAACAACAACAACAACGCTTCATTTCATTCAGACGCTCGTGCGGGTCGTCCCGAACCTTGGCAGGCATCGGGCTGTAGTTCATGAATGGCCATCTGTTGGGCAAGTTTAGCAAACCCCAAAACCATGTGGACCAAGCTAGGCCAAGAACAAAGCAATAACGCTAGAAACGGCCCCATAGCTGGCCAGTCTTGCCTCGCAGCAATCTGCCAAAAGCTAAACAAAACTTGCTTGAAACACGCATTTTTGGGTCCTGGAAACCGAACTTTAAAGCATGTTCAACACGATTTTCGGCTTTAGGGACTGCATTGAGAACCACTCACCCGGAACGAACCTGGAACCCGCTTCCAACCGCCCCGAACCTCTCCCCGGAACCTGGCCCCGCAACCCGCCCGAACCTGGAGCCGCAACCTCGCCCGGAACCCGCCGAACCGGTCCGAAACATCCCGCCAAAACCTGTTCGGAACCCGTCCCCTGCCCTGAACCCGCTCCGGACGGCCTTGCCCCAATCCAGTACCAGTACCACCACCGCCGCCGCGACGATTACTACTACTACTTCTTCTACTACT